ATATATTTATTATAACAAAATAGGCAGTTATTGTGGGTAAAATATTCATTAAAATCTGACCCCTAAGAACACACACATTTTTAGACTACGAATCATTCTGTCATTGCCCTAATGACCATCTCTGCAGCTATTTTTTGTATTACTGCCAATGGAAATTTGGCATTCCTCTGAAAAATACAAGGTTTCCTAGCACCTAAACATATTTTAGGCTCAAAAAGTGTGATGACCATTATCTATAAACAATTTCTGTAAGACACTATAAATAGTGTTTCATGAGGAAGATTAAAAACATTACACATTTTTGTCCCTAGCAATTTTATTGGCAAAAAAATGAAAAAATATATTATAAGAATATTCATATGAAATTATGAAAATGAATATCCCTTGAGGAGTAGCAATGGGACTTAATGAAAATGTTAACTCAAAATTTGAAAATTTCTCTCTAACTGCCTGGAAAAAAAAAAACCCCCACGAGAACAGAATTTAACTCAGAAAATAAAACCTGAAATTGATTGCCCTGACCAAACCATGCTATTAAAGTTAAGCGTGCAAAGTTACTCATGATTTACAACTTCCTTGAATACAACTTTTCTTTCAATTGTTATGAAATTTTAAAAGTGTCTATAAAGCTTTTTTGAAAAAATCTTTGAAAGTTACTTGTCCTTAAACATTAAGGAATTTTACCAAGCAATTCCCTCCCACCCCCTCCCCAAACTAATAGCTGGTCAGGCCATTCCACTGTCATGTTTGAAAAAATGGCAAACCAACAACACACAATAATACAAATTATTTAAACTAAGAGAGACACCAAATGTAAAGCATTATGGGAACTGCAGAATGTGATGGTTAGGGTATGAACCACGCTGGAAAGAACTAGAGACAGGCTCCACTGGAAGGGTTTAAGAGTTGTCAGATGTAGTAGGTGATGTCAGTTAGAAAATGAAAAATAAAAATCTGTTTTCATAATTTTTCCTTTGCTGGAACCCAGATGTAAGGTCCTGACTGTTCCTCTATGATCTGTTTCACTTGGTTGTAGATTTCCTCCAGTGTGTCTCCTTGGACAATAGCTGCAAAACATAATGTGGCAATCAGCAATCATCCCTCCTAGCTCCATACAGACACCAAGATGTTCCAAGTCAAGCTGTTCTTTCCTCTCAGAGCGACAAGAGGATTTTAGATTGCTGAAGGAACAGATACCCACTGAGATTTCTGGTTTCTGTGCTGGAGTGAATCACATTGTTGTTGGTACTGCAGGACACACAAAGCACCATCTCACCCACTCAGAGGCCTGGGGTTAGGAAGTGGTCTTCAGTTCACTACAAGTATACATATACAACTGAGAAGGTTTTTTTGCTTTTCCTAACCACATGTTAGTTTGCCTGAGTCAATTCGCATCCTCCAGCATTCTTTCTGGTCCAACTTTCATGTGCGTTTCCAACACAACAAGGCAAGACAGAGGACAGGGCTGTGTCCTCATGCAGAGTCAGGTTTAGTGTAACACAGACTGGTGAGTTCCTCAGCTGGATCCTGAAACTTCATAGCAAGGCTGGCTGACCTTGGGATTTCTGCCTGCTAGCACTACCTTTGCTTTTGGCCAAAAAGAGGAGGAACTCATGGAGTTTGTTGCCCAGCGAATAGATTCAAGTTTTATAGACAACAGGCTTCCTTATAGAGTTAAAAGTGCAATTTATGTTTAGATAGTGTAAGTTAGATTATTTTCTAGCCTTGGAGAAAATATATTAGAAATGAGCCAATATGGATGTGTTCTGACATATCAGAGTAAAGTACAGTCTCGTGAAAATGAGAATGAAGTTTGAGCTGTTCTTACCACACTTCAGTCTGAAAAAGCAAACCCTGTGAGACAACAACTTCTTTTTAAGTAGGATTGCCACCTCCGTGTTGATAATCCAAGAAACAAAGTTGAGCAGGAAAGATAATTTTGGAGGCAGGCCAGATTCACTCTTTTGTACACTAACATATTACTGCTGCTTCTGAGCTTTACTTTCACACAAATTATTTCCTTTTTATTCCTGCTCATCACTCCCATCTCTTAAAAACTTTCTCCCCATCTAGAGCCCATTGTCATAGTGCCTGTGGGAGGAGGCTGTTCAGTTATTATAGGTCAAGTATAACGTTCACAGCACATGTTCAAGTATAATGTTCACAACAGCGCATTAGAAAAATTTAGAAATATCTTTGCAATGCAAATAGCTGTAAGCTTCAGCATCTTACTTCTCTGCAGCTATGTTTAACCACACCTCTTCCAAAGCTCAATACTCTCAAAATAGAAGATGAATGTGCTCTTCATATGCTTCAGTGCAAGGTTTAAGTCTGTTTAAACTCAACCTGCTGATGAAGCTGATTTCAGTTACCCTACACAATGTGGTATTTTTTTAACACATTAGGGAATACTCACATGTTCTGTTTTACCACTGACTCATGGGTTGCAGCCTCCAAACTGTAAGTCGTAAGCGGGATTTGTAATGTCTTCAAGTATCTCAAACAGATTCAGAAAAGGTTCTCTGACCTGAACAGAAATCTGACCATTGCTATCTTCCTTTGTCAATAAGCCTTATACTTCTGAGAAGACACATGGCCCTGAGCACTAAAGCACATAAAAAGTCCACTCGGGTTTTGAATCATTTTGAATCATGTCCCTTAATTTCTTGAAAAAGTGTCCTACATAATGCCCTGAGACAGCCTGGGAGAATACCAGCTACTAACTAAATATTTAATTAGTATCTATTAAAATCAACTCATTTGTTTCCTGAACAACAAACTTGACACATTTGCAAGTCATTTGCTAAGGGACTCTTATAAGAGGAAGAATTTGCAATATATGTTGAGTCCCATAACTTTCTGGGTGCAGACAGATAGAGAGCTACAGGAAGAGTAGGAGAGCTAGATGCAGTATTGAAATAGATTGACAGCTGCGAGGCAGCAGAGAGGGAAGGAGGCAGATAAAAAGGGATGGACTCAAGTTGTTCATTGTGTGGGCAGCACACAAGGTAGAGAACAAGACAGTGGGAAGACTGGGGCAGGGCATCTACTCGTTCCTCTATCTTCCTCCCATGTGAAGCCACCACTCCCTCCTGTGTCTCTTCCCAGGTGGAGTGGACTGTTGCATTCACAGCTCTGCCCACATAAGATGGGGAAGAAGGAACTGGGCAAAGGAATGTCACAGAAAGAAGGTGAATGGGGCAGCAAACACTGAAATACTGCAAAAGACAACGTAACATACACTTGATCCTTTCCTTCCTATCTAGGACAGGAATAGAGAAGGCTCATTTCTGTCCTCCTGAAGATCCTGACTTGATCAATCTCCCCCTACTGAAAGGCACAATACAAACAATTAGCACAGTTTGAGTGCTCACAACCCATCCCATGCTGTCTATGGCATACACAAATTTGATTTGCTAACATCATAATGCTGTAGTGCCCGATTTCCAGAAGCTTAATTAAATTACCATCATTCTTGATCAACTTCCTGATTTTTTAAAAAAAGGAAATCAATTATTTTCTACACAGACCTTTGCTGGGCTATCTCAGCTCTGCAAATAAAAAACTTTAACGATACAATATATCAACAAAGCAAACATCTGCCTTACAATACCTAGGAAAATGACAGAAAGTCTCACAGTTTTTAAAATCTAAATTAGGCTCCCAGTAATTTTCTGTATATAATGAATTAACTGATCAAACTGAAATCAATGTAAGGGTAACTAACATGGCTCTATGCCTCAAAACAATCACAGATCAGCCAGAAAACCAAGTTCAGCCTTATCTCAGCAGTGAGGCAATTACTATTTTACAGCAAGCAATAAAATTTCAACTCTGGCAAGGGAACACTCCCAAGCAAAACACACCTGTGAAGTGTTCAGTAAATTCTTGCTCCAGTTTCATGGCTCTCTCAAATGTCTTCCTGGCTTGCTCTTCTGTTAAGCGTTTATTCATTTCCCTGAAATTGAAAACATTTTACATTTAAAAACTACTATAAAATATTATGAGTATTTTGAAACAAGGTTTTAAACTGTTGTCTGAGTATTAACCCTAATAAGAGGCAGTCTCCTAAATGACACACCTAAGCAAAGACCGTAGTGGGAATGAGCTGTTTTGACACGATGTTGCATGGAATTTAGCACAATGACATTCGTTCTGAAGCACTTTCATTTACATTAGAAATCCCATCTAAAAGACTCTAGAAATCAAACTCAGGAAATTAAATATTGTTTAAAACGCAAATATTACAATTGTCTTCACATAACTTGCAGTTGGCTTTTCAAATACAGTGACAGTCTCAAACAATTTAGCCTGAGGTACTTTACTTTTACTCACATGATATTTTCCACTGTTTTGGGTTTAATAAAAATGGAGACTGGGTACAGCTGGGCAATCTGCAACCTTTTGATCGCATTACCAGAAACGTCAAGAATGCAATGTTTACCCTAAAAAGTGAGAGAAGGGAAAATGGCACTAAGCAAAGTTTAAGTCACAGGTATGCAGAGTATAATAATTTAGAAGAGAAAACATGTCTCCACTGAAGCCAACAAAATTAGAGCATTTACATCAATGATATTATGATTTCACCACTTTGGCACAAGGTCCCACAACAGTTCTCTATTGGGATCATACATCATTTGAGATGTTTCTAACCCTTCTTCCTTTCTTTCTACACCAGGGGTTGCAGCCCAATGAACAATGCAGAATCATCCAGTGGAACAACTGTACTTCCTCCACACCACCAAAATGTTGTGGATTTTTTGGTTTGGTGTTTTTTTGTTGGTGGGTTTTTTTTTTTTTAATTATTATTATTATTTGAGGATCCTTTGGGGAGGTGGCCATATCACAGATGCAGTTTAGAGAGGAGCCAAATGACTTAACTGGCATACCTGAGGAAGTAACCACCCCGATGGGTGGGAAATACGCCATCATCAGAATCGTTACATGGAAATGAATACAAGCACTCTCCTCCCTCCAGCTAACACACAGTAGAATACCAAGTTCAAGATCAATGCAACTTATTTGGGCTGATTATCTTTTCATCTCTTGAGAAAGAAATATAACAACCATTCTCTGGGCAGTTGGAAGACAATGTGGTAGGGCTACTTTTCACCTCACCTTTATTCTCCTACTATAAGCAATATTCCAGCTCTTTGGGATATCTCATCTCAAAGGCTCTTCCTGTTCCTCAGCTCCTCTCATCTCCAATACGCTCATTGCCACCTCACACATTTTTATTTCTTTCCTTTCCCAGAAGCATAGGAGTAATTTGGCATACCACCATTTTAGAAGGGGATGCGGGGAGAGGAACAGAAAACCACTGTCAGGTGTCTAAAATAAGAAAAGCTTTTTCTTTAGAAGAAGACCAATGTGAATGGCAAAATTCTGGGAGCCAGGATACAAACCCACAAGCACCATAAAACCAAAGGTTACTCATATCATAGAATGCACCTCCTGAACCCCTGGGAGATCATTCCTGGAGGGCATGCTGAAGAGCAAGGAAGTGACTGCAGTCTGAAATGACTGACACATTCCTGAAGAAGAGATCACTAGGATCATTTACATTTGATCTCTTGCACAACAAACCCACAGAATTTTATTTCAGGAATCCTTAAAAGAGGATAGAAGTGTTCTTCCCACATGAAGAATACGTATGTGCTTGCTTTCAACTGATGATAGTTGTTTCCCAGATCCAGTCCATGGATGTGGATGCTGACTGGTATAATTTAAGAACAGTGTTCATACGTTCTAGCATAGTATTTTACTACATGTGCTGACTTGACCACATCTTTCAAATTGTTTCTCTTTAAATGTGGCACATGCTCTGGGAATTGAGAATCAAGAGCATTACCTGGTCCATTTTCCTTTTTGGGATAAGACACTTACTATTTGCTGTGTTTGGCCCAACAACTTATGCCAGATGCTGAAGTATTTTGGGCAAAGGGTGGAGGACCAGATTGCCAGCACAGTAGCTATGCTAGACCTTATGGAATATAACTGTGACAATTTATTCCAAATCAATAATGAACATGCATTAACAGTGGCCTCAGACAGAAATTTACAAGCTGCTAGTGATTCCTAAGAAAAGAGGACACAAAAATTCCTTTCAAGTGAAGATTTGGAAGACAAGGAAAAGGCAGGCAAGTATTTCATGATATGATTATCATGTTTTCATCCAGGGAAGTTATTTTGCTCTTTGCACAGTGCATTTAAACAGTATTTTACATATTTTTTAGTTCCTTACTTGCACTGCATCTGATTGAGAAACACAGCACAACCCTCAGTGCCTTTTACAATAACAGAACAATGACATCAAAAAGCATCTTCAGCTGTGTCCATTATAGATAAGGAAATGAGAGAGAGAGGGATCTTCTCCCCATGGAAGCATGGGCAAATGAACACAATTTAAAGCTATTGCAAGAATACTATTTCTGGTACTTTTAGGGTAGTAGCAGTCACCTCTGTTGTGTCTTCCCCTAAATTCATCATAGAAAACTTGGAAATCAACTTTTGTATCCCAGTAATAAGACCCACCGAAGAGATTCATCTCTTAAGTGAGATGGAGAGGAATACAAGGAGGAAGTAGCCCCAGACTGACCAGTTTTCAGCCCTGTCACAATCTTGAAGTCGAGTTCTGAAGTACCAGCCACTGTTTCCCAGAAAAACAATGTTAGCTGGAACTGTGAAATTGCTGCATCTACCTAACGTCCCATGGTACCTGTGCAAGAGATTTAATAGCACAGAGACATCTGGTAGTACTTTGTTCTGCATGTCAGTTTATAAGAGATTCACAATTGTTTAGTACCTTACTAATCCCACTAGATGGGCAGAAGAACACAGACAATTTCAGGTCTAGGATAGAACTGAAGCATTGTATCAGTGCTACCAGGTGAAGCAACTGCCAACAGGTTTACAATGTTTAAGCTGTTTAATAAATAGTTTCATCATATAACCACATATGATAGTTTCACAGCTTCATTCAGCCTTCCATGTAAAGTACTGTTCATTTACTTCAACTGTTTTGTAATTAATTTTATTTTCTTTACTTTTCTTGCTATATACCACAGGGCCAGGTTCTATTCCATAAGGTGAGAAAGACAAAGAAAACTGTATTAATTTCTATTTGTCAGTTAAGAGGAAAACTTAGCTGGGGGAATATATTAGAACAAAGCCACTGTACATATGTCGTTATTTAAAAACCTTGCTTTAAGACACTGGTCAAAGGTGCAGATGAAGCAGAGTAAGTCAGCTGCCTAGAGACAGACATATGCAGTGTGACTGGCAATTGTAGGGGATGGTGGTCTCTAACTCCCAGCCTAAAACTCAAGAAAAAATGCTGTAGTTCCTCTGAAGATAAAGGCAAGAGGCCTACCATGCAAAGGGATGCATCAGAGAGTAAGAACAGACAAATTAACTCGAAAGCCATGTTGATGACAAAAACCATCAACTATTAATGAGAAAGTTGAACCACATGAACCACAGATCTCACCATGTTCACCCTGGTTTTGATTCCACTAAATTAAATTGCCAGAAATAACAGTACTTGGCCATTTGACCAAAATGGTCTACACTATCTTCCAGAGGACTGATTACACTCCCACATCACAGGGGTTAACCATACTTACCCTCTGCACATCCAGACTAAAAGTGCTCATGCTTGTGAGCTCCCACCTAGAAAATAGCTTTCTTCTCTCATACAGATCAGGTAACATTGTCTACTGTAAATGCACCATATTTGTAAGCAGTAGAACAACACTCATCAACCTAACGTGGAACATTTGCAAAAAATTTTTTACCAAAAATTTCTTTAAAACGAGCATCTTTCTTTAAGAAATATGCTTCCTTCTTCTTACTCTTTTTCACAGAGCTCAAGTAAAGTTCAATTCGAATTTAGAAATACTTAGATTTTGCAAGAAATAGTTAAAATAAAATCTGTTCAGGATAAAAACAATAAGGTCAGTCTTCAAAATGTGGTGGTAGTTATGTAAAAAGTCTTTCTAAAAATGAGTTTATTACGTTTACTCTTTTCCCTTCGTCAGCTAAATCCATGAAGGACACAAAGAAAAACATTTTTACAGTTTTTTTTTCTGCACAGATGTATGTCAAACAGATCATCATATTAATCAACTCCACCACACTATTCTTAATTAGTTAATGATCTACATATGTGAGCTAGGCTAATTAGCCTATAATTCCAATTATTTCTTCTCTATTCTCTTTTTATAAGAGGGCAGAAACTGTGGCTGCTCTTTTCCCATAATTTAATCACAGTGCTTTCATTATTCCAAAGCTTCATTATTTCCCTAAGTGCATTTGTGGCTAGTTTTGTACGTTTTGTTTCTACTTTTGTACAAATTCTTTTTAAAGTCAGAGGGTACCTAACAGCTTCTTGCCATTCTTTTCGTTTCCCCTGTCATCACAGTCAGTAAATCACCTCAGTAAATTAAAGTAACTGGCACCGATTTACCTTTTCTGCTACTTCTCGCACTGACTGGACACTTGTTCCATAAAGATGATTATTGTACTGGCCAGCTTCAATGAATTTGTGATCCTGGATATCCTTCTCCATTTGCTCTCGAGAAGTGACAAAGTGGTAATCACGTCCATCCACCTCATAATCTCGTTTTGGTCTAGTAGTATCTTTAAATATAAACCAGTGATTTTTAAAGCAAAACAAAGGACAATGGCTCTTT